TGAATAATTTTTATTTAATTAGTTAGATAATTTTTCTTATTTATGAAACTTTTAATTTTTGATCAATAATTTAGAACTAAAAGCATGAGTAGCATAAATGCGAACGATTAAAAACGAACATCCTTTATTAATACGTTAAATTAATTTTCATTTTCATAAAAATTTTAAATCGTTTGATCAATAGTATAGTAACATAAATGCAAAAAATAAAACAAAAAAAAAGTTATTATCAAAATAATTAAAGAAAATTAAGTAATAATTAATTAACTAATTTTCATAAAACTTTGTTGTATTAAAAAGTTATATATATATATATAAGATATATATTTTTATAACTTAATTCTAGTAGCACTGTGTGATAATGAAAATTAAAGTTTTATTTAAGATTTTATTAAAAATTTTATAACGGCTTGATATGCATATTAGATTACAATAACAAACAATATATATTTTTACTAAGAAAATTTTCTTAACTATAAATTTATGTAATTATTTTAAATTTTTTGTGATTAATTAATGAAGTATAGCTTTAATTTTTATTTATTTTTTGTTAATAAAGTTATAGTTTTCACACATTTCTGTTATATACCTATATAGGTTTAATCATAAAAGTCAGGCAAGAAAATCTGCAAGTAACAGTTTTTATGTCTGAAGATTTTTTGTCAATAAATAAATATTTTTTAATTTGTTTTAATTACGTAAGTTTTTAAATGTTTTTTTAAATTTTAATTTAAAAAAAAAATTAATCAAATTAAATTTTTATACTTTGAATATTTAAAAAAATTATAATAATTAACAGAAAAATTAATTAAATTTTTCTAACTTCTAACGTTTATTTGCCAACAAACATACATGTTTATGCATAAATATTCCGCATCGATAAGTTACCAGTTCCCAGTTCTTTACTTGCTTGAACTAATTTCTAATTTATTCACTGACATTAGCTTGCACTTGCATTTCATATTGGATTTTAAACCTTTTAACCTTTATATGCATACATTTTTTATTCAAGCAAATATATGTGATTAATGCATTAATGATTAAAAATGCGTTTTAGCGCTCAGCCACAAGCTAATATGCGTGGAAGTGATTAATTGAATTGGTTGTTTGCTTAGAGTAGATGCAGTAATTATTTAGCTTCGGTGTACATATATACATAAGCAAATGCACAGTTACACAAGCTTGTCCATACAACCTCAAGAATGTACATATAGCTAAGTCTATAAGCATATCTTTAATTAATTATATTCATTATTCATATGCGGGGTGTCTAAGTATCTCTCATATATACATGTAAAATGTATATAAAGTTATATTTACAATATGCTCGTATGTGTATAGAAAAATATTAGTACAGACATTAGAAACTTAGCAAAGACTTACCGGCTTATTGAACATCGATCACTAATCTCATTTTCTGGTTATTAAATATTATTCACGTTCATTAATTCATAGTTGTAGTTGTTGCAACGAAGTGTGGCTAAAAATAAAGCAGGATATAGAAAATGAATGCAATAATTATAAAATATTTATTGATATTAAAAATAAAAGAATTAATCTTATGTTAAAAGTTCAGCAAAACTCAAAAAGCGCTATTTTCGTTTGTAAAAAAAGAATATAATATGGGTCAAATTGGAGTATTAAGTGCTAATTTATTATATATATAATATAAGGTAGTTGCTTTTGAATACTAAATATTACAGTTTAAGTAGTATGGAAAATAATGTATATTCGAATATTTACAAGTGGAAAATATTTGTTTGCATTATTGTTAAACCACGTCCATAATTGCCCTTGTTTTTGTTGTCGATCTTTACACTCTTTAATGGTGGCGCAGTTTTTTCAGATTTGCTTAATATTCTTTATATAATTATTTGCTTATGTAGCAAAGTACATGCAGGGCGTATTTGCATCACGTGTTATTGAAGTGTGATATATATATATATACTTTCTTTAGGAATAACTGTATTGTTAAACCTTGAACAGTGTATATACCTATATTAAGATTGCCACGGAATTTGTAACACCCTGAAGGAAACGTTGGAAGACCTATGATCGATTTTGCCATGTTCTTTTGTATCTCAGTTTTTGAGATATCGATCTGAAATTTTACACACATCCTTTTCTTCTTAAGAAGCTGCTAATTTATGGGAAACACTGATATCGGACCACTTTATAATATAGTTGCCATACAAATTGATCGATCACACTCAAGTGCTTGTATGGAAACTTATTTTATTTTATGAGATTAGCAAAATTTGTCATAGATTATTTTCCAAGGCAGCGATATAATCTCCGAAAAAATTGTTCAGATCGGACAACTATAGCATATAGTTGCCATACAAACTGACCGTTCAAAATAAAACTAAATATATTTTTATACCCTTTTATGCTATAAGAAATGCACCTGTGAAGGGTATTAAAGTTTACGTTTCTTCTTGTTTTTATGTTTCTTTGTATTAAATTATTATTTTTATTCAATGTCGCCATTATAATATCATTTCCAACTACTAGCTTATAAATAGTATTCTCCTTAACTTAAATGTAGCTATTCTTACTTATCCACACGTACATCCATATATGCAAGATATTTATTTTGTGGCTTTTGGTTTCCTGTGCTATTCTTTACTAACAGTTCAATAAACCTCGGGTTGAATGTGACACTCACAGACGGTGGTTGCCAGCAAGTTTTCCAATTGTTCGATTTCAGTAAGCAGATACCTCAACACTTGTCTTTGCATAGTGGTTGACAATATAGTTTTGTTGCTTTTGTTGTAATGGATTTATTTGCATTCTAAATATATACATATGTATGTATGGATTAAGAAATGTAAAGGTGAGTGTGCATTAGTAGGTGGCATTGTGCTTGACCTGCGAACATATGAGTATGCTTTGTACTCAAAGGGGTTAAAAATGACAGAAAAATATTTAAAAAAATTTAAAATAATCAAGGAAATGAAAAAATAATAATTAAAAATAAAATAGAAATGAAATAAATTTTAAATTTTTATTTTTTACTTTGATATTGTAGAATAGATATTAAAACTGTTCGAAAACCGAAATGAGAGGCTCGTAGCCATAATATATAGGTTCTTGCTTATACTAATAAGCTATAATCTAATGTCTTTCTTAATATTCACCATCTGTTAACTGTTCAACGCAGCTGCCAGCAATCTTCCTGGTTCCGACAACACCAAGACTAATCACCTGTTCCTTTAAGGCTTACATGCCCACTTAAGGGTTAATAGTTTTGGAGCAAGTAGTCTCAATTGATCAGGAAAAATTGTTTGTCTTCAAATAAGATAGGGCAAACACACATATATATTCGTACAAAGAAGATTATGTCGATACAACTTCGAGTTCATGACTGAAGCGAAACGATAAAGGCAACAAGGGGCGAAGAAAGTCATTGACAGCACATGGCAACAGAGAAAGTGCTGAAGAATACTAGAAAAATACCTTAGTATACAAACTATGTTCAACGAATGATATATATATACGTACTTGACTATATATGTATTGTATATCGTTTAATGGGCTTTTAAATACCACGTGGACTGTGGTTATTGCTATTTTTAGAACGAGCCAACTAGACATATGTGCTGTAGCAGGCGGTAGGAGTGTGCGGACAGACAGTTGCAGGAGTGTTGGTGGAAATCAAAGCTTATCTAGAGTCAAATTAATATGTTCGTAAACGAATAGACAAAGCGCTGATGACAGCTAGCTACAATGGGCGTGCGGCGCTTCCTTATTGGCAACATTGCGCATTCGATTTGAATTAAGTGACGCTAGAAAAATGCCAATTTTTTCGCATGCAAGTGGGTAGTTACAAAACTTGGATACATATGTTCATATGCAAATGAGTGGAAGCACTTGCTAAACACTTGTTTTGGCTTTTTGCCAATTGCTGAGAGCCACTAATTAATTTACAAGCATAAACCGAGTATTATCGTGTTATTAAATTAAATTGAGTAAGGTAAAGAAAACATACAAAATAAAGTGTAAAATAAATATAAAAAATCGTAAACAACTTTAAAATAATAACTAACAAAATATAATTAACTTCAATTCGCCTCGGAAATGTTTGGATAAATGTTGTATATAAATTTAGCTACGCCATACATGTTTTTCTACATTTGATTAATGACACTTTTTTAGTATTATGTTCAGCTTTTTGGACATAGCAATTAATTTTTGCTAAACTTTTATTTTATTACCTCAATATTTGCTGTTTAGTCACTTTTAATAACCAGCCATCTGCGGTAGCCACGAATAAAGTGTCAAAAGAGAAGAAGAAGAATAAATGCATATACAAAATTGATAAAATAATAATAAAAATAATAAATAAAATTATAATAAGTTAACAAATTTTATTAAAATAACAAAATTAATTATAATATAAAAATTAATATAATTAAAAAAAACTTATAGCAAACAAGTAATTAATACAAAATGATAAAAATTGAAATAATAAAAATATTTAACTAAAAATATTTGTATTTATACTTATTTAAAATATAAAAAAAATTTTTTAAATTAAAAACAAAAACCAAAAAAATATTGAAAAAAATTCAAACAATACATAAAAAAAATAATAAAAAATATTAAAATTATATTTAAAACAATATTTAAAAAAAATTTTTAAAAAATATATAAAAAAAATTATAAAAAAATATATAAAAAAAATTATAAAAAAATATATTAAAAAAAATTAAAAAATATATAAAAAAATATTTAAAAATATATACAATAACAAAAAGTATTAAAAAAAATTAAAATGTAAAAAATAAAATATTATACATTTTTACATATATAATACAATGCAATTAGCAGATTAACCAGTTTTCTCAACTGTTACTTTTGCATTTGGCATTTGTTACCGAAATTTCAAAATTTTAATTGCACTTTCGTGGCTTAATTACAAGCGGCAAACCTTTATATAATTTAAGTTTTTAATTTTGACTTTTATTTCACACAATCTATCTTTCTTATCTTTACAGCTAATTTCTGCAGAACATTTACAAAAAAGGAAGCAATAATTGAAGTCGTGTATTAAGGTGAGCTCACTAAAAATTTTACTTTAAACCTTAAATTGGTACAAAAAAAAAACACTAAACGACTTTAAAAAATTATCTATAAAAATGCAAAGCAAACGATTTTTATTTAAATTCAATTAGTATTTTAAAAAATAACTTCGTTCAATTGATGCAAAGAGTTTATTAAATTATTGATAGATCTATAATAAACAGAAAAATCGAATATTCTATGGTAAAAATATAATAGTCAGCTACAATAGCGTTTAAAATTCGATAAGTCAGCTATTTAATATATGTGAAAGTATAAAACATTTAAAAAAAAATCGATAAATTAGCTACAAAAATCGATTAAAATTCGATTAGTTAGCTATATAATTGATGAAAGTTAGCTATATAATTGAAACAATTAAATTGTTAAATATGAGTAGCTTTTATCGATTTAAATATGTTTAATAAATTATGTAATTATCCATATATATAATATATTATATAAAATAATGGAAATGAAAAACAAATTGATTGCAACAATCGAAAAATTTAAAACAATAATTAATAGATATCATATGAGAATTTCGAAATATTTAAAAATCAATATGAAAACGTAAAACTATCGAAATAAAAATTAATAAAATTATAGTCTATGGCGAAAACCGATAAATTAAGTGCATAAATAAAGGTAAATAATAGTTCATTGTAAATATGTTAAAAATGTATAATATGGTATCCAAAAAGTTGATTAAAAAACATATTATTAAAATAATTTCCTATTTAATATAATTTTATAGGATTGAAGAAAAAATAAAATCGATTGTGAGAAATGTTAAATAAATATAAAAATATAAAATTATCGAAACAAAAATTTATAAATATAATAATCGATGACTGCAAAAATCGATAAATTAGCTACAAATCGATTAAAAATCGATACATTTATTCTATATTCAAAGATTGAGTAAAATACAGATTATTACAGGAAAAACTTCGACAAAATAAAAGTTTCTCATCAAATGTAAATGTATAGGATTTAAAAAACAATCGATTGCGCGAATTGCTAAATCTTCAGTAAACGATGTAAAAATATCAAATTATCGAGTTAAAAATAATAATCGATGATAAAAATCGATTAATAAGCCGCATACATTTACTAAATCAGCGAATTTAGAAAAATCGTTAATATAATATGTTAGTGGTAAAGTTGCATACATGAAGCAAACTATTTATTTTACAATCGAATAATTTTAGCTGACAGTGACAGTTTTAGAATATAACTTTGTATTTTTAAAGAAAAATTTAATAACTCACAATGAAAAATCTGATTTATGAAAAAAAATGTTTATCTTAAAATTTAAATTTACGAAAATATCTTAATTCCACTTATCACTACCACTTCAACTTTGCCCGTGTGTATTTAGCTTATAAGAAGATTCATATAAACTTCAGTATATTCGCACTTCATACGAATTTCTTTTCAACACATATTCTCCATCAACTACACGGAACTTGCCACTGCCTTAGCACCTTATTAACATTCCGTAAATGTTGCCAAATTCACACTCTAAATTCCACACAAATTACCCACATAATGATATGAAAAGCTACTTGAATTGCACACCGAATTTCCGACATATATTCATACATATATACATGTAAATACCTAGACTATTACACAGAAAAACCGACACACTTTAAATTCGGAACTCATTAAAGGCACGTACCATGATTTCTGCCGAAATCCTCTTTACCACACCCCTTACCAACACAGCACCTAATCCCTTCACAGACGCCTTCAAAAGCACACAAAAGACAAAGCCTAAGAAGCGCGTAGATAAATGTGGCAGCTCATAAGTATCCATCCAAGTATGTCTGCGAATCAACAGTGTCGGCAAAAAGTGATGATACGCACTTGCCGACGCGAATCGCAAGCGAAAACCATAACAAATTGACTTTCCGGCATAAATTCCATTACAACGAAGAGTTGCCACCAATTAAGATGCCACCACAGACAATGATGGCGTTGTGCTGTTACGGGGCGCGAAAATTATTTGGTACGTTATTAGCTACAAATAGAAAAGTTAATATATGCACACATGTGGATATTATATACAAATTCACATACGCATACACACACACACGCATTTGTAAGTGGTTAGGCGCTGTGGGCTGGCAGGCCGCACGTGGTTGTCGGACTACCGATTTGGCTTCTGATGAATGGCTTGTGTGGTGAAGAGTGTAAAGAAAAGAAAAATTTGCTTAAAAAATAGCTTTTGCTGTGCTTGGTATTGTCTTTATTTGTTACGACTTTTACGGGCCTCGCATCACAATGCGTTCATTTCCCTTTCTATGCGTTGGCGGAAGTTCAAAGAAATCCAAAACTATAAAAGACGTAAAAAGCTAATATAAATAAGAAGTTAAACTCACTTTTGAGGAAGTGTGTTAAGAATAACTGTGAATTAAACATACACCTTATAGATAAAATAGTTAATTCACACACTCTTTTCGAGAATTGGCAAGCTGTGCCTGAACTCTGCTGCCAAAGCAACATCTCAAAGAGATTTGCAATATTCTCTCAAGAACTTATCTTTTCCGAAAGCAAAAGCATTGAAACTGAAATTTCATTTTTTCTTTTTTTTAATTATCTAACCTGAAAATAATTTTTTGTTTCGCAGATATATCCAACTTTCGAATGTGAATACTTCATTAAGAAACCGAGAAGCAGCACTTCTTACAGTAGACGTATTTTTCTCTGAGACCAAACTTCCAAAAACTCTATTTTCCTCTTAAGCTTTGCTTCGACTTTATCACTCTTATGCGCTAGCAGCCTTATCGCAATGATTTCAGGAGTAATTCGGCAGATATTTGTGACCTTAACTCAATATGGGGTATATATATAAGAAATGAAAAATTTGAATTAGAATTCATGGTCTCTATACTCATAGTAAATGAAAAGTCAATTACAGCATAGTTACCCGAGCTGATAAGGTTCTTTTTACAATATTTAACGTATTTCTCCATCCATAACATGGATCCACTTCTCAAAAGCGCCACTAAATATATTCGCATACAAGAAATAGTTTGCATACAAACTTCTTTGGAGCACTTGGTCTTATCTACTGCTTAATCCTACCTCCTTATCCCTACACCGACTTGCCTAGCTCATATTTCTCGTTACAAGTCGCACCGCGGTTTCACGCTAATTTTTGTACGGCTTCCCGTGTTTGCCTTTAAGCACCCTGAAAAACCGTTGAGTGCACACACTTCAACCTTGAGTTCTCCAACATTTGCGAGGCTCAGCGACTACTCAAGCGAAATTAATACGGGAAAAGCTTTGAGAAGCATACTTTTATGCGCACGAGAGCTTGAATAGAATGGAAAATAGTGAAGAAGTAAACAATAAACAAGAAACAATGCAAAAAACGTTAACAATAAAAACAAAAGCAACAATTTCAACAACAAAAAAAAAAAAAGGCTACGGGGAAACCAACAACATTAACAAAGCAAACGCAAGCAAATTGCAGCAAGAGCAACAAACTATTGGCTTCAGCCCTGAGTCGAGTTCATTTGTGGTGGCTCAGGTGAAATGGATTTTTAACAGGATTAATTACAAACTTTAAGCATTTTTTACGCAGCTATTAAGCACTACACTCGGCGCTGATGAAGGCGGAAACTTAGAACTTTACTTTCAAGTGCCGGAAAATGCAGCACAGGCTACAAAAAATATAAAAGGGCTGGTGGTGAATTTCATTATGAAAAGTTGAAAAGCTACGAGGTGCGAAAGAATGTTCTTTGTAGTATTTTCCTTTTGAAAAATTCACTTAGTTCTTTAAATAAATACTTGAATTTAGCTGCAATTTCTTGGCGCACTCAAGTCACACTTGTTTTAATTGTGCTCGGCGCGTTCATTGAACCTTCAGCGACCTTTTTGTTTTTGCATTTCATATTTGTTTCACATTGCTGCCACGCTAAAACAGTTTCCACATTTGACGTAATTTCAATTGTGCTAAATGAATTTTGAATTATTACACAAGCCAATGCGAGCACCGCTATGCGAGTATCACTTAAATACAGGGGCACTGAACTTCGATGAGTAGAAAACAAGCTAACGACTGCGCTGTTTTGTTTTTATAATTTTCCAACTAAAATTGTGAGTGTAATGAAATTAAAACATATCACGTATTAAAAGTATTGCGGCTTAATCGCTCGGACGCTGGATGACAACAACAGAAAAGGCGATATGTGCAATAAACTCGTAGAAGATTCGTAAATATCAAGTAAAATATTGGAAAAAATAATAATAAAATTAATCTATATAATATATTTAAATAAAAATGGTAGTCAAATTAATAAGAACTAAGAAAATATCAGAAAAAATGAAAGCGAATAACAACAAGTTTTTTAAGCTATAAATGAAATAAAAAGTGTTATATGTAAGAACAATAGTAAAAATAAAGCTAAAGCCTCAAAGGACGACGCTAAGAGGTGCTAAAGTATATATATAAATTGTTAAGAAGCAATCGATATGCTACTAAAATCGATTATCAGTGCAAAATATAATATTTTTAAATCGAAAATACTACAAAATAATCGATAGATTTCAGTTTTTTTTATCGATTTATTACAATCGATAAATAGAACATATTTGCATTTGTTATCATTCAAATAAGAAAATCCGTAAATTCACATACATATTCTTTATAGATTCAATAGTTGCTTGTTTATAGTGAATACTTGAAATTAAAGGTATAACTATAAATCGTTATGGAGCAATCGATATACTGCTTAAATCGACTATAAGTACGAATATATAAAAAAAATATTTTTTGAATCGAGTACTCAACTTAAAATCGATATATTTGTAATAAAATGAATTATAAACTTATTAGAAACGATAAATAAATAAATTTCGTATTTATTGTCGATAAAAAATCGATACATTTACAGAAATATTTATATTTATATATCTTGTTTAACGTGATTATTAGAAGCACAAGGACCGTATTTATCGATTAAAGATCTATTAATAA